GATAAGCTCCAAGTCTCCCTCAACACTTTCCCTTTTGATAGTCTTGTCTTTTGTTTGTTTTGTTTAACATTTTTTGTTAAAGATTTTTTTTTTTTTTTTAAAGATTTTATTTATTCATTTTTTTCCCCCCAAAGCCCCAGCAGATAGTTGTATGTCATAGGTTCACATCCTTCTAGTTGCTGTACGTGGGACTCGGCCTCGCGCTGGACGGAGAAGTGGTGCCTTGGGGCGCGCCCGGGATCCGAACCCAGGCCGCCAGCATCAGAGCGCGCGCACTTAACCGCTAAGCCACAGAGCCGGCCCAGTTTAACATTTTTTAATTGTAAGATACACATAACATAAAATTTACCATTTTAACCATTTTCTTTTTCTTTTTTTTTTGAGGAAGATCGGCCCTGAGCTAACCTCTGCCAATCCTCCTCTTTTTGCTGAGGAAGACTGGCCGTGGGCTAACATCCAGGCGCATCTTCCTCTACTTTATATGGGACGCCGCCACAGCATGGCTTACCAAGTGGTGCCTCGGTGCGCGACTGGGATCCGAACCGGCGAACCCCAGGCCACTGCAGCGGAGCGCGCGCACTTAACCGTTTGCGCCACCGGCCCGGCCCCCCATTTTAACCATTTTAAAATGTACCGTTCAGTGTCATTAAGTAACTTTTTCTTTTTAACCCATCCTAACGTGAGAAAAGTTGCAGGAATAGTACAAAGAACTGTCTAGAGCCTTCACCCAGAGTCACCGGATTTTGCCACATTCCCTTTATTTACTGCCCCCTCCCGTGATATATACATATTGTTTCTTCCTGACCCATTGAAGTGTAAGTTGAGACATTGAGTCTCTTTACTCCTAAATACCTCAGTGTGCGTTACCTAAGAACAGAGACATTCTCTGCACAGTTATCAAATTCAGGAATTTAATATTGATGCGATACTATTATCGAATGCACCGTTTACATTCAATTATTGCAAATTGTCCTATTGATGTCCTTCATGGCACATCCCACTCCCTGATCCCAGGATCCAATCTAGGATCTTGCATTGCATTTTGGTGTCACCTCCAAGCCCTCCTCTTCCCAGGGCTTTTCCTCAGTTCTCTGAGGCCAAGGGAGGCAGGTTAGGGAATTCGGCACCCATGGCAACGGACACTACCGTCATCTGTGCATTTGCACACTGAAATATGTCACCAGCCAAGCAGTGCACTCGATGCCAGCTGCCTGGGTCTCCGTGGAGAGTGAGGGGAGCTCACCTTCTGGGTCTGTTTTTCTGGGACTAAGATGAAAACAAGTTTGTATTTGCCCTCTCTGAATACACACAAGTGGAAGGGGCAACTAAGTGAGCCCCCGGAGCCTGTGTGGGTGTGAGTGGGAAGGAGCGGGGCCAGCTGGGGCTTGGAGATACGGGGTTCTGTTCAGTTCAGTCCTAAGAGCTCCCGAAGGGATAAGGCTGGACTTTAGGACCCGCCCCAAGCATGGTGGACGATGGAGTGCCACAGCACCTCAAGCACTGCGGTGAAGTGGTGGGTGCGTCCTGGGACCCCCTTGTGTCGGGGGGGACCTGCAAAGTGTGACCTTTGCCTGGGCTGCTCTTCCAAGGGTGCTCAGGAGACAGACTTCCATCCTGTGGTCTTGGGAGTCTAATGCTTTCAGAGTTCTTTAAGATCAAAGGGTGGCTGGCAGTATTACTCTGGTCCATAAAGTCTGTCCACCTTCCTCCTGCACACGTAATTCGACTGGAACACTCGGGGTGACCCAGACGGCACTTCTAGGATTCCAGGCAGCGTAGCTTTGATTGTTCACAATTTTTTTACCTTTGTTGTGAAGAGGACTGGAAGACATACCCTTCAACTAGCACTGGTTTCCTGGGTTAGGAATATTATCTCATTTGATCCTCATAATGGCCCTGCAAAGTAGGAACTATTATCATCGTTTCATAAGTGAAGAAAATGGGTCTCAGTGATTTGTAAAAGAGGTAAGTGGGAGGCCTAGGTTTGCGCCCTGGCTCTGTTAAGAGATTTGAGATAACACAGATAAAGCTCTTAGTACAGTGCTGGCACACAGTGGATGCATAATTGATAGTTTAACATCACCGTCCCATCCCACATCGCCACTGCTGATCCACCATCACACCGCTGGCAAAATTCAGAGCATGAATTTTGATGCTAAGACTTTTGATGCTAAGTCCCCATGTCTTTCTACTTTCCAATTATGTTCAAAAGAATAATCAGAGATCTCAGCCCTGGCTTTTGAAGGCCTGGCCTCCATCTCATCAAAATCAGAGTGTATATCCTTCATGGAGGTTATTAGACAATCAGTCGTGTGCGTGTGTATGCTACACCTCAGAATGTCTTGGGAGACACTCCTCGGGTGGGCTGGTCCCTATCCTTGCCCCTGATGCATAATCACTGGATTTGAGAGATGTTAAGAGTGTCTGTTGGCCATGTGAATCAAGTAGAGACAGGAAAAAAGACTAGATGTGGGCTCAAGGCCATTCCAGCTTCAGAATTCTTTAAGAACAAGAAGGTGAGTTGTTTGTTGCCCCCAAATGACCAAAGAGTAATCTGAGATTGCCCTTGGTAACCCAGGGCCTTGGGAATATTTCTGAAACACCTACCTTGAATCCCCGTTCTTATATATGAAGCCATTAAGCCTAGAGGGGTAGCCCTGTCAGCCCATCAGGAGTAAAAGTTGGCTTACCACGTGTCCAGCTTTGGGGCATTCACGTAAGACATGGTCCCTGGGCTCCAGGGAGCAACCAGATCTCCTTGGAGGAACTAAGGGGAACATCTAGAGAGCAAACAAGAAGGCTGCTCTGTGGGGCTTGGCTGTGGGTTGCTCTGAACAGCAGCAGGTCAGTGTGGGCTGGTACAGACAAGGGACGGCTCCTTGGTAGCAACAGCGAACAATTAGAGGGCTTTTACTATATGCCGGGGGCCATCAAAGTGCTTTTTGTGTATTGCATCATTTAACGCTCACAACTTCCCTAGAATAAGTAGATTCTATTTTCATCACCATTTGACAGACAGGGAAACTGAGACACAGAGAGCTTAACTGGCACAGTCATACAGCTGGAATTCAAATCCAGGAAGTCTGGCTCTAAAGCCAGATGCTCTTAGCCCCTTCCTCCCTACTCTCCCCTGAGAGGGGCTCAGCTGATCCTTGAAGTATAAGAAGTTTTAGAGGAGCAAACTACTAAGGGGTGGGAGCTCACAGACCTGGTTTTGTAGTACTGGTTGTGTGACTTTAGACAACTTACCAAATGTTTCTGAGCTTCATTGTTCTCATCTGGCAAATGGGAATATCATCTTCTTCATAGAGCGGTGTGACTGAGAGCATGTGTGGAGAGCCCAGGGCAAGGTGTATTATTGTTAGAAATGGAGGGTAAGAAGAGGCTCAGCCTGACCAGCTCCCAGCGTCGGGGATGAACATGAACTCTACATGTGGGAAGGATGGCGGGGAGGGAGTCAGTCAAGCTAGAATGTGGGATGGATGTAACAGGTGAGTGGGGAATAAAAGTTGGCTGGGACCTTGAAAGCTACCATAAAGTGCTCTCCAGCTCTTCAAAAGGACAGGTGTGTGGACTTTGTTGACATATGGAAATGTGTATTTGGAAAAAAAAATAGAATGCAAAATAGTATGTACAAACCGACAGCTGTGTAAACTCATTACAGTGTGTTAACCTTAGAGATCAGAGGGCATCTGAAGGGCTGTAAATATTCCAGTTCACCACTTTTTATTTATTTGTTTTTCTGTAAATACCTAATGAAAACTAAGTGAACAGGAGGCCGGGCTGAGGGGTTCGGCTTTTAACTTGCGGACATCCATGGGGAATCACTGCAGATTTTGTGTGTGTTTGTTCTGTTTTTCTTTTATTTTTTTGTTCTGGTTTTTTTTTTCAGTTGAGATATAATTCATATACAGTCGATCCTCATTATTTGCAGATTCTGTATTTGCAAATTCACCTACTCGCTAAAATTGATTTGTAACCCCAAAATCAATACTCAAGACCCTGTGGACATGCTTAGAGCAGTGAACAGTTGTAGTCTCCTGATGCACCCGGGCCCAGCTGAAGTTGAACAAGACGACCCTCTACCTTTTTGGTTCAGCTCTCACACTGCAGAGAAGTGTCCTTTTCTACTTAGTGCCACATTTTTCGTATTTCTTTGCTTTTTGTTGATTTCCCTGTTTAAAACGGCCCTGATGTGCTGTCTAATGTTCCTAAGCACAAGAAGGCTGTGATGTGCCTCATGGAGAAAATACCAGTGTCAGATAAGCTTCGTTCAGGCATGAGTTACAGTTCTGTTGGCCACAAGCTCAATGTTAATGAGTCAACAATATATAGATTAAATAAGGTATCTTTAAACAGAAACACACAGGGGCCATCCTGGTGGCGTAGTGGTTAGGTCCGTGGGCTCTGCTTCGGCGGCCCGGGGTTCACAGGTTTGGATCCTGGGGGGTTCGCAGATTTGGATCCCGAGCGTGCACCGACTCACCGCTTGTCAAGCCACACTGTGGCAGCGTCCCATATAAAGTAGAGGAAGACAGGCATGGATGTTAGCCCAGGGCCAATCTTCCTCAGGAAAAAGAGAAGGATTGGCATCGGATGTTAGCTCAGGGCTAATCTTCCTCACAAAACAAACAAACGAACAGAAACACACATAAAGTTATGTATTGATTGGTTGACGAAAATGCTGTGACCAAGGTTTGTGGGAACCTAATCCTGTATTTCCCTTGGTGCATTGGCTAAGGATTTGCTAATTCAGTGTTCCTAGCAACTTTACAGAGCATAACTACTTCATATAACAAGACTTGACTGTACCATAAAATTCACCCTTTTTAATTTTATATTTTATATAGCTGTTTTACAATTTAGTATATTCACAAGGGTGTGCAACCATCACCATCACTGCAGATTTTCGAGCAGTAGAATGGCCTCACAGAGCAGCCATTTAAGAAGAATTATCTGTCCATCTTTGCCTGTTCCCTGAACACTCTGCTCCCTTTCAGAATGCCCAGGAGAACCATGGGCTGGCTGTGCCCACCCCCTCTGTCCCAGAAGACTTTGTGGACAAAGGAGTGACAGGTAAGAGGACCCTGGGCTTGGGGCTTGTCCATCTTTCTTTCCTCCTTGTGCCCAAGTGTCTGGCCCACCTCCCCAGCTGGTGATGCAGCCGGAGCCCCACGCCTCTTGGCTGTTGGCCGCAGTGGATGGGAGCAGTGGGGCTGGGCGTGAGGAGAGCCAGGGTTGGCTGTGGCCCACTTCCAGTGGAGGAAGGATGGTGAGGGCACAAGGCCAGGGCAGGAACAAGGGCAACATAAGGTGGTGGAAAAAACCCTGGAGTCAGACAGACCTGGCTTTGAATCCCAGCTCCCCTGCACATTAGCTTCGCTCCCTTGGGCAAATCACTTAACTAACCCTTGCCCCTCTGTATCTCCAAATGAGCAGTGGGAGCAGCAATTCCAGTTCTGGAAGAGTCAGTGAAGTATTGGATGGGATGTCAGTCACTTCTTGTCACACTTCTGCTCAAAACCCACCAATGACTTCCCATGTCACTCAAAGAGAAGGTTCTTGAAAGACTGCCAGAACCCTGCCTCATCTGCTTTCTCTCCCTGTCTCACTGCTTTAGCCATCCCTGCCTGCTTGTTGCTCCTTCAGTGCCAGGCACATTTCCGCCCCGGGGTCTTTGCACTGCACTGCCCTCTGCCTAGCACGCCCTTCCCCTAGACATATGGACAGCTCTGTCGCCCTCTCCTTCCCTCTTTGCTCCAATGTCACCTTCTCAGTGAGGTCTTCTCTGACCACCCTATTCACACTGCACCCTCAGCCCCCCTCTTCTGGCTTTCCCCCCGTATTACTCATCATCAAATGTGGTGACAATTTACTAACATATTATGTTCATTGTCTGTCTCATTGTCCCATTGAAACACAATCTCCAGGAGGGCCAGTATTTTGACTGTTTTTTGCACTTTTTTTCTCTCCCCAAAGCCCTGGTACATAGTTGTATATTTTAGTTGTGGGTCCTTCTATTTCTTCTATGTGAGCCGCCACCACAGCACGGCTACTGACAGACGAGGGGTGTAGTTCCACACCCCGGAACCAAACCCGGGCTGCCAAAGCGGAGCGCGCCAAACTTTAACCACTAGGCCATCAGGGCTCGCTCTTTTTTGCTTTGTTTTTTTGTTTTGTAGGGTTTTTTTTTTGTTTTTGGGGGGTTTTTTTGGTGAGAAAGATTAGCCCTGAGTTAACATCTGATGCCAATCCTCCTCTTTTTGCTGAGGAAGATTGGTCCTGGGCTAACATCTGTGCCAATCTTCCTCTACTTTATATGTGGGACTCCCCCACAGCATGGCTTGATGAGCAGTGCATAGGTCCATGCCAGGGATCTGAACCTTCGAACCTGGGCCGCTGAAGCAGAGCATGCAAACTTAACCACTACACCACCAGGCCGGGCCCTTTTTTGCTTTGTTTTTACTGCTGTCTCCCAGCTCCTAGCACTGGGGTGCTTGTGAATGTTAGCTTTCCCCTCCCCACTCCCGGTCTGTTCTTTGTTTTGAAGTCAGACAGCTGGGAGGGCCCTTCAGAGCTGCATATTCCCCAGGTTGGTTATGCTCTGTGCTAGAAACTGAGAGGAGGGGAGGTGCAGGACGGGTGCCCCTAAGAGAGAAGTACGCAGGGCGTCCTGGCCAGCTGCAGACTCTCGGGAGCAGGGCTGGTGACTCGGTCCAAGGAAGGAGGGATGTGAGCAGCTGGGACCAGGCGTGCTCAGCGTCTCTCTAGGGCCCAGGTTGTTCAGGTCCCCTTCTTTCTACACACCCCATTCCATTCTGCAGTCCATAATCTGTTCCAGAAGCTCTCAGTGAGGTGGAAAGCTGGGTTCTTGGTAGATTCGGGGTCTTTAGAAAGCAGGAGTTGCTCATGCTAATTTCTCCCTGCCAAACTTTCACCCAAACTTCCTCACGGAGAAGGTCTCCAGGCCCCTGGCCCTGATCCACGACTTCCTCTCTCTCCCTCACCTTCCCTGTCTGTCTTCTGGCCTGAAAAGTTCAGCACAGGTGGTTGTGGTTAAAGTGGATACCACTCATTAAGTGCCTGCTATGGGCCCAGCACTGTGATAAGCCCTTTACATGTATCTACGTGAATTCTCATATTTAATCCTCACAATGGCTTTATGAGGTAAGTGCTGACATTATGCCCATTTTATAGATGATGACACTGAGGCTCAGCAAGGTTAATTAGTGTGTCCAAGATCACACATCTGGTAAGTGGTAGAGCTGGGATTTGAACCCCGGCCTTTCTGGCCTTGTACCAGTCAAGGCCCCTGTAAGAGACAGATGGTGCACTCCAAGGGGGTAACGGAAGAGAGGTTAGTAAAGGGATTTATACAAGAGTGCGAGCAGGGCAGAGAAGGGTGGAGCAAATGGAGAATATTCAGTATAGGCTCCTGAGGCTGTGCCAGGGACAGGCAGGGGCCCCTCCCTAGAAGGAAGAGGGTCACTCCCAGAACAGCTCAGGAGACTGGAGACATGAGGAAAGGCATGAAACTGGCCGCTCACTCTGTTGGGTGCCCACCCCTACCCCTACCCTGGGCACACGGAGGTTGGCAAGCCTGGTCTTGCCCTCCTCACCTTTGCCTCACCTTTGCCTCTCCCTTCTTCCAGGTACCAGCTCACTAGTCAATGGCAACCTTCGATTGTACAGCTCTGTGGGTGACCTGAGGCCTGGGCACTATGGCCAGGACCCACTCATCCCGCCGCCTCCCCCAGGCCCAGCCCCGGGGCCACCCCCAGATGCTTTGCAACCTCGAGGGGAGTCCCCACCACCACCTCCACCTTCCATGGCTCCCCCACCACCTCCCCTTCTGCTGGAACCCCCACCCCTGCCCAGCATGGCCCCACCTCTGCCCCTGGTATCGGGGGCCCTATCCCCCCCCTCCACACCCACCCCCCCTGACTTCATTCCCCCTGCCCCACCCTTGGCCTTTCTAGCCCCACCCCCACCCCCTTTGCCAGCCCCGGCACCCCCAGCTCTAGTGTCTCCTCACACAGGGACTCGCCTCTTTCCCCCTGGGGGTGTCACCAAGTGGAAATCAGAGGTAGCACTGAGTGGCAGGCAGCCAGAACCTCTCAGAACCAGCCCCCCCAGGAGCCCTACTGAACCAGACGGGTGTCCCCTGGGACCTAAACCAGACTCCCACCTCACCTTCCCCCGTGCGTTCAAGGTGCCTCCCCCAACCCCAGTCAGGACTTCATCCATCCCGGTTCAGGAAGGACAAGGGGCTCCTCCAGAGGAAGAAGGGGCCGCCAGGAAGGCCCCCAGTCGACTCCCACTGCCTCCCAGCTTCCACATCCGCCCTGCATCCCAGGTCTACCCGGACAAGGCCCCTGAGCCAGATCACCCTGGGGAGCTCAGGGCTGCAGCACCAGCCAGCCCGAGGCTGGGCCAGTCCCAGTCCTGGCCAAATGAACAAGCGGAGACTCTACCCTCACCCCCTCCCCTGCCCCCTCCCGCACCCCCACTCCCTCCCCCAGCACCCCCCCTTCCCCCGGCTGCCCCTCCTTTGCCTTCTGCTGAGAAGGCAGCCCCTCCACCTGCTGGGTTTATGAAAAGCCCTAAATCCAGCTCTCCTGCTCCCAAACCCAAACCCACACCCCTGAGCCCAGAGGACACAGCCTCTTCAGTGCCTGTGGACTGGCGGGATCCCAGCCAGATGGAGAAGCTGCGGAGCGAGCTGGCAGCCTATTTCTGTGGCTCCAGGAGAGAGGACCGACTCGTCAGTCACAGGCCAGGCCCAACAGTGGCTTCTCAGGGAAAGGAGGGCAAGAAGGGCCCCAGCCTGCCAGAAAAGGAGGCTCCCCCAAGCCTGCCAGAGAAGGAGATCCCCCCAAGTGTTCCTGAGAAGAATCCCCGCAGCCTGCCAGAGAAGGCCACCACCAGCCTGACCCTCCCCCCTGTGGACTACATCCCCCAGGACGCTCCAACTCCCAGTGTCCGGCAGATCCGGAATGAGCTGGAGGCTCGGCTTTCCTCGTCAGCAGAGAAGGAAGCCAAGCCCAGCATAGGGTCTCTGCCTCCCAAACCTCGGCTAGAAGGGGGAAGACTCTTTGAAAACAGGGCCAATAATGGCAGATTCTCCAAGCCTGTGGCCAAGAACCTGTCACCTCTATCCACCACCCCTCTGCCAACCACACCACTCCAGTCCAAGGCCATGCCTGGGCCAGCCACACCACCCAAGGCTACACCTGGACCAGCCACACCACCCAAGGCCATGCCTGGACCAGCCACACCACCCAAGGCCACACCGGGACCAGCCACACCACCCAAGGCCATGCCTGGACCAGCCACACCACCCAAGGCCATGCCTGGACCAACTACACCTGGACCAGCCACCCCACCCAAGGCCACACCTGGACCAACCACACCACCCAAGGCCATG